GTGCTGCTCTTGACATGAAATGAGAACCAAGGATTAGAAACACCCTACCCACCAGTCTGAGAAGTGACAAGAACACTTGCCATCTACTTGGACTTTGGGGAAGAAAGAGAAAAATACTAGAAATCAGCCACCCAGGCTGGCACTGTTGATAAATATAAATTCACACTATCTGCCCAGTGCAGTGGTCCCAAGCCACAACAACAATGTCAAAAGTAGTTCAGTACTAAAGAAATTCATAAGGTTCCTGGTGGAAGAAAAATCAAAACTGCCTTGTAGGGGTGGTCCTCATACTCAGGGAACTGGGACTTGCCATGAAAATATGAGCCACACTGAAGATAAACAGAAATAGTAAACTGCACGAGGCAATGAATCGCCACCATGAGGGAAAATCACAGACACAACAGATGGGAAAAACTCAATATCAAGAACCAAAGATAATAGGACAATATAAAAGAGATACCTAACATATTTAAACATATAAAGGAAGAAACATAAACCATGGGCCCAGAATGAAAATAGAATGGGGATAGGGCCAAAGGACCAAAAAGAAGTTTGAGAAAGAAAACTTATAAATTTCCTATGGGAAACTGGAATTGATGTAGTGTTTCTGCTACAGATGAGGAAAGTATCAGTGTACTGAAAGATTAGAGGAAATTACCCAACATGCCTCAAAAAAATAAAGAGATGGAAAACGTGAGAGAGAAATTGAGAAACATGAACATTTGAATGGGAAAAACCAACATATAACTAAGAGGAGTTCTAAGACAGAAAGGAAAGGACTCAGCAATTTTCAAAGACATAAGGGCTTAGATCCTCAATATTGGAGTAAGATATGAACCCTCAGTTAAAGAAGTACACCAAAATCTGAGAACGATCATTAAAATAAACCCATCCTTACACGCATCATAGTGAAACTACAGAATACCAAAGACAAAGAGAAAAATCCATCTTCAAAGCTTTACAAGGCAAGTGGGAAAAAAATTAACAAGGCTAAAGGAGAACTAAATCATATAATAAATAAGAGAAATAGAGAACATCTCCTTTTCAAGTGACCACAGAACAAACCTCAAAATTTCCAAAAAACAAAAACAGAACAGAAAACATTCTTTAATGACAACGCAGAAATTAATGTCAAAAATCTGAAGACAAAAAGCCCTTACTTACTGCAAAATTTTAAACACTCAAACAACTGTGGAGTCAAAGGAAAAAAATACAAACTGATAGCACAGAACAAGAGAAGAGGATCATAAGGAAGATATGACTGTGAGCACTTACAGCAATATAGCAAAAGCAGCACGGAATGAAAATGCATATGCCTTATATAGGCATGTTTCATGAACAAACAGAAAAAGTAAAAAGTGAAGGAAATAACATAATAAATAAGTTAGAAAAAAACCATCAAATAAACTGAAGCACAGGATAAAGAAATAAATTAATAAAAAGTTAAATAAATAAATAAAGTTAAAATATAATGATTATAAAACAGAAGACTATAGAACTAGTTAAACTCAAAAGCTGGGTTTTTTTGAAGAACAAAATAATAAAATATACAATTTTATGGCTAATGTAATCAAGAGGAAGGAAGAAAGGGCAAATATATAAAATAAGATTAAATGGATCCAATAATTGGAAAAACCATGGAAATTAAACAAATCATCTAAAAATAGTTTGTCCGGTGTCATAAAAATAATTTTGCAAATACATTTGGAAACATGGATGAAAAGGACAGTGTTCTAGAGCCGAGGTCTCCAATACAGCAGCAACTAGCCACACATGGAAACTGAGCACTGAAAATGTGGCCAGTCTAAGCCTGGATGCATTGTAAGTGTAAAATACACACTGGATTTTGAAGACTTATGAAGCAAAAAAAAGAATATTTCACTAATAATTTTAATTGATCACATGTTGATAGTATCAATAATGATAATATTTGAGATATATTTGGTTAAATAAAATATTTTAAAATAATTTTACCTGCTTTTTTCACTTTTTATTTTTTATTTTTTAAAGATTTTATTTATTTATTTGACAGAGACAGAGATAGCAAGAGCAGGAACACAAGCAGCGGGAGTGGGAGAGGGAGAAGCAGGCTTCCCACTGAGCAGGGAGCCTGATGTGGGGCTCGATCCCAGGATCCTGGGATTATGCCCTCAGCTGAAGGCAGATGCTTAACGACTGAGCTGGCTACCAGAAAACTTTATATGTGTTGACTTATATTTATATTTGACAGTGCTGTGAAAGAAAAAATAATTTGTTAAAACTGACTCCAGAAGAGATAGAAAATTGAATAAACTAATAGCTGCAGAGGAGCAAAGAAATTTGTCACACAGTTTCTCCCTGCCACTCTGCAATAAAAGCTCCAGACCAAGATGATTTTCCATTACAGAGGAGTAATTCCAATGGTATTTAAACTATGCTAGAGCATTTTTAAGAGAAAGGTTTTTAAATATTCTTCATAAAATAAGCATAATACCAAAATCTGACAAGGATTGCTCATGAAAAAAAGACCTCATACATTACTTTCACTTATGGATACTAAAGCAAGAAACCAACAAACAATGACAACAACAAAGACTAAATAAAACACTGAGAAACACGGTACTTGGGCTTCCAGGTAGAATACAATAGGTCAGAAAGATCAACCTTCTCTCTGTAAGGCAGTAATGATGACTGGGTAAGTTTGAAATAATCATATTTTCAAGACAGTCAGGAACTATGAAAACAAGGACTAGATAAACAGAAAATTCCAGAGAAGTAAGATTTCATCGTACATGAGCTGATACTCACCAGCTGGATGTGGGCTCAAACAGATTACACAGGAAGAGAAAGCAGCAGAATTTGGTTAATGCAATGGATTGGAAATTAAAAGAGTCCAAAACATGGGGCACCTGGGTGGCTCAGTTGGTCGAGCATCCAACTCTTGATTTCGGCTCAGGTCATGATCTCAAGGTCCTGGGATCAAGCCCCAAGTCTGGCTCTGCACTCGGCAGGGAGTCTGCCTGGGATTCTCTCTCCCCCTCTGACCCTCCCCCAGCTTGCACTCTCTCTCTCTCGGTCTCTCTCTTTCTCTCAGATAAATAAATAAATCTTTAAGAAAAAAAAAAAGAGTCCCGGGATACCTGGGTGGCTCAGTCAGTTAAGCGTCTGACTTCGGCTCAGATCATGACCTCAGGGTCCTGGGATTGAGCCCTGTGCTCAGCGGGGAGTATGCTGGTCCCTCTCCCTCTCCCTCTGTCCCTTCCCAGCCTCGTTCTCTCTCTCTCTCAAATAAGTAAGTAAAATCTTTAAAAAAAAAAAAAAAAAAGAGTCCAAAACACAAGGCTAATTTTCCTCATGAGATATTTGCTAAGTTCTGGGGTTGGGGGTGGTGTCCAAAAGGCTGGGGCTGGGCTAGAAAGGCAGAGAGAAATATCCTGCAGTCTTGTAGGTGCTTAGGAAACAGTCCCATCAAGTGAAGAGGCCTGCCAGACACATGACCAGTCTTTCCCTCAAGACATTTGCCAAATTTTAACTGGCTTGGAGTGGTTTCTTAGCTCAAACCTCCAAAAGGCAGGACTTTCAGGGCAAACCAGAGGTGGAATGCATCTTACTAAATTAGAATCCAGCCCGAACCCGACTCAGTCTCTGATCAGACTACAGCAATCTGCTTTTCACCTCATCTACCTACAAGAAGGAAAAGGCAACTCTCAGAGGTGGAAGATACCATCTGTAGCTTCTATGCTTCTAAAGTAATATGATAAATGTGTTAAAGGAAATAAATGGAATCCGTGAAGATAATCATGAGGACATTCTACAACCGAAAATACAATAGCTGAAATTAAGAACTTGGCTTTAAAAGAAGACTGTATATAGCAGAAGACAGGATTGGTAAACTCAAAAATAGATCAACAGAAAACTCCAATATGAAGCACAGAGAGAATAGAGCACAAGTGATATATGAGACACAGTGCAAAGATCTAATATATGTATAACTGGAGTCAAGAGAGGAAAGAAATAAGGGCAGAAGCAAAGTTTGAAGCGACAATGGCCAAGAATTTTATAATATTGATGAAAGACATCAACGTATTGATCCAGAGTCTCAGTGAACCTCAGGGAAGATAAATAAAAAGAAAAATGCATCTAGACACATCTGAGTGAAGCAACAAAGATCAATGACAAGGAGAAAAATCTTAAAGGCACCCAGAAAAAAAAAATGCACATGACCTTCAATGAAGCAACAGTAAAACTGATGATTGACTTTTTCAACAGAAACTGTGTAAGCCACAAGACAATGAATGGAATGATAAATTTAAAGCACTGAAAGAAAAAAGGAACTATCAAAGTAGGATTCTGTAACCAGCAAAAGTCCTTCAGATAAAGGCACAATGAAAATTTTTCAGGCATCAAACAAACAAACCCCGAAATAATTCATCCCCTGTGGAGAAGCCCTACATGAAATACTAAAGGACATTTTTTTGAGTAAAGTAAAAATGTTCCCAGATGGAAGCACAGAACTTCAGAAAGGAACAAAGAACAGTGGAAAGAATAAATACATGGGGAAAGACAAAAGAATAATTTTCTGGTTTGAAGTCAAAAGAATAAGAATGTCTTGTGAGCTTTACAACATATGTAGAGGTAAAATTATATTAACAATACCCCAAAGTGCAGGATGGAGTAAATGGGCTTAAACTATTGTAAGATTATTGCATTTTAATTAAGAGATAAAAGTACCAACTTAAGGGTGTCTGGGTGGCTCAGTCTGTTAAGCGTCTGACTCTTGATTTTGGCTCAGGTCATGATCTCAGGGTGGTGAGATCAAGCCCCATGTAGGGCTTCATGCTGGGCATGGAGCCTGCTTAAGATTCTCTCTATGTCCCTCCCTCTGCCCCTCCCCCCACCTCCCTCTCTTAAAAAAAATACCAATTTAAGGTCAAAGATAATAAGTCAGAGATGCATAATGAAATATTTAGGGCAATCACCCCCCAAAGCAGTATAATTAAAAAGCTAATAGACGATGGGGTGCCTGGCTGGCTCAGTTGGAAGAGCATGAGACTCTTGATCTCAGCGGTTGTGAGTTCAAGCCTCACATTGGGCATAGAGATTACTTAAGTGAATAAGTAAAAACTTAAAAAAAAAAAGCTAATGGATGAGAAAATGGAATAGGAAAATACATGATTAATGTATTTGGTTGTTGATTTATTTCTTTAATTCTATTAATTTCTATTTTGAAATCATGTTATCAAGGACATACAAACTAGATTCTTGGGTTTTCTTGTTGAATTGACCCTTTTATCATAATGAAACACTTCCTTTTCACTCTAGTAATACTTCTTGCCTTAAAGTATAGTTATTCTGTTACTAAGTCAGTCAAATTTCTTTTTGCTAGTATTGTGTGGTATAACTTTGTCATCCTCTAATTTCATCCTTAACCTTGCCCTTATGTTTGATTTGTGCTCACTGTAAACAGTCTATGCCTGGGTCTCAACTCTTTTTATTTAGTCTGACTGCTTTATTCTTTTAATTGGAGTGTTTTACATTTACACTTCAACTAATTACCAATATAGTTGCATGAAATCCTACCATGTTGCTATTTGTTTTTTATTTGTTCCATCTGTTTTATTCCTTTGTTCCTCATTTTCTGCCTTTTTTGAGGATTAATCATGTATTTTTCTATTCCATTTTTCTCATCTATTAGCTTTTCATACTTTTATGTGCAGATTCTTATGCATACATTGCAAATATACATATATACCCACATACATATGCACATGCATAAACTCATCCACTTATATACTTAAGTTTTGTGTACTTTTACTATCAATAAAAATGTTAACAAATACACTACCAAACAGAATTTATCAGCAAGTGAAGATAATAATGCACACCAGGACCAAATGGGGCTTATTCCAAGAATGCAAAGATGATTCAGTATTAGGAAATCCACTTAATTCTAAGGAGAAAATTATGTAGTCACCTTCATATATGTTCAAATAGAATTTGACAAAATTTGATAATTTATTCTATTTTTCAAAGCAATAACATGGGAATAAATAGATACCTTTTAAATATATATCTGAACCTCAAAACCAAAAGCACACTCAATCAAGAAATACTAGAAGCTTTTCTCTTTAAGTCAGGAATAAGACAAGTGTTTGCTCACTATCACATAATTATTTAATTTTGTACAAGGGGTACTAGCCAACACAACTAGAAAAAGAACACAAAAGTATAAAAGTATAAAAATTGAGCAAAAAGAGGTAAAACTACCACTATTTTCAGGGGATTTGTTTTATTCTTTGAAATCCCAAGAGAAATAAATGGAAATTATTACAATCAATGAGAGAATATAGTAGGATAGTAGGATATGTAAAATTAATCTACAGAAATCAATAGCTTTTGTTCATACAAACAAATCAGTTAAGCAATATAATGTAAGAAAATACCTCATTTAGAATAAAAAAAGATAAAATCATTAAAAGTAAGATTAACAGGATATGTGCAAGGCCTACATAATATTTTAAACACTCATAAGTGAACAAAACAAAAAGAGGGAGAGAAAGAAAGTACAAGACTTGAATAGATTAAAAGACATACCATGTCCTTAGACAGGAAGATTTTGCCTTATGTCAATTTCCCTCAATTTACAAGTATTAATTTATAAATATTATCCCAACAAAAATATAAAAAGAAATTTTTATCTATTCAAGGTGATTTTAACTTTCACAGGGAAAAATAAACAATAACCCAAGTAATTTTGATAAAGAAAATAAATGAGGAATAGCTATATCAGATATTTAAATGTACTTAGAGTCTTCAATAATTAAAACATTGTAATTGTAGAATATGACTAATCAGACTGACATATGGCACAGAATTGAAAAGCCTGAAAAATATCCAAATACATAGAGAAATTTTAAGATAAAGGTGACATCTCAAATACATGGGGGAAAGATGGACCAGTCAATAAGTGGTGTTGATAACAAACATTTTGAAAATTTTATTTATTTATATGAGAGAGAGAGAGAGAGAATGAGTGGAGGTGGGGGTGTGCAGAAGGAGAGTGAGGGGGACAAGCAGACTCCCTGCTATCAGGGAGCCCACGTGAGGCTCCATACCAGGACCCTGAGATCATGACACAAGCTGAAGTCAGATGCTTAACCAACTGAGCCACCCAGGCGCCCTGATAACAAATATTTTGTATCTAGACTTCACATCTATGGTAGAATAAATTCCAACTGCATAAATTTTAAACATAAAAATTTAAAACATAACAAAAATGGGAGATGAGGAAAGTCTTGCTAACTATGATGCAAAATCTAGAAGCCATGCAATAAATAGTCGACAATTTCAACTACATGAAAATCAAAACCTTCTGCATGGCAGAAAGCAAACAAATTTTGAAAACCACCCAAAGCAGGGGCACCTGGGTGGCTCAGTGGGTTAGGCGCCCCGCTCTTGTTCTCGGTTCAGGTCTTGGTCTCAGGGTCTTGAGTTCAAGCCCTGCATTGGGCTCCAGGCTGTGGCACCTACTTAAAAACAGAACAAAACAAAACAAACAAAAACCACCCTAAGCAAAGTCAATAAGTAAATGACAAAGTGAGAAATATGTGTAACTCATACCACAGAGGGTTTACTTCCCCAGTACATAAAGAGCTCCTGCACATGGATGAGGCAAAGACCAACAAACCAATAGGAAAGTGGGCATGGATATGAACAGTTTGCAGGAAATACACTTGGTTCCTAAACATATGAAAATAGGCTCAATGTCAATCATAACAAGAATTCTCTATATTAAAACCATACTGGGGGCACCTGGTTGGTTCAGTTGTTATGCATCTGCCTTCAGCTCAGGTCATGATCCCGGGGTCCTGGAATCGAGCCCCGCATTGGGCTCCCGGCTCTGTGGGGAGCCTGCTTCTCCCTCTCCCACTCCCCTTGCTTGTGTTCCCTCTCTCGCTGTGTCTCTCTCTGTCAAATAAATAAATAAAATCTTAAAAAAATACTGATTTAAAAAAATGATCAGAAATGGCAAAAATCCAAAAGCTTGAAAACAAACTCGGTTGGGGAGCTCAGGAGACACAGGCACTCTCTCTCCTCTGCTGTTACTGGGAACAGACTTTGGCGTACCCCCTGCAGAGGGTAATTTGGCAACATCTGTCCACGTTAGAGATGCATTTACCTTTTGACTCAGCCATTTTACTTCTAGGAATTTACCTTCTGCATAAACATAATCACGCTCTACGTGAGGTGCAAACTTACCCATGGCAGCTTTGTTTGAAAGCAAAAGATTGCCAACAACTTAAATGTCCATATATAGGAGACTGTTTGGGCACCTTTTGCACAGTAAGTAAGCATCAGTGAAGGAGAAAATGACAGGCTTTATGTACCATGATGGAAAGATCTCTAAGACACAGTTAACTGAAAAGAACAAGGTATAGAACAGCAGGTCATATACCACCGAGCAAGTAGAAAGAGTTGGAAGTGGGAGAAGAATATATATTCAATTTGCTTGTATGTGCAAAAAAAAAAAAAAAAGAAAGAAAGGAAAAAGAAAAGAAAAGAAAAAGAAAAAGATCTAGAGATAAACAAATTAATAACAGTGGCTACCTTTTCGAGGTGAGGGATGAAAAATGAGCTGATGGGAAAAGGTGCTTTCCACTGTATAATGTTTTATAATTGTTAGTTTTTTGAATATATGATATATTACTTACTCAGAAAGTTAAATAAATAAATGTTTAGCTATGAGAAGGAAGCATAGGACAACGGCCCCTCTCTCTCCCTCTCTCGTCCCCAGAGCAACCTGGCTCCCGCCCGGGGAGCTAAGAGACAAGCATGTGGCTGTCTTGGTTTCACAGAGGCAGGTCGGGGGGTGTAGCTGAGGCCCTGAAGGTTTTAGGACTTGCTCAGGCCTGTCCAGGGAGGTCAAGGGTGATTCTAGAGCTGGAAGCCCAGGGCTGGGAGCCTCTGCGGTGAGGAGTCCTGTGATTTCAGAATGGAGCCCTTGGTCCCCATGTGAGGAGGCAGGTGCTGGGGGTGGCCTCCGAAGGGCCCCAGTGCTGCGTTCTAGCGCTGCTGAGAGCCAGCCCTGGGCCAGCCAGCCAGCTCTGCAAAGGGCTGAGTGGCACAGCGTTATGGCAAACTTCTCTATCCCTGATCACCCTCCTCATCTGGCAAGACGCCTCAGACAGGATGACAAAAGCAAAGGAGAGTCAGCAACCTGGAAAGGAGGCTGGCCTGTCAGAAGAAGCCGCCTCCCCCCACACACACACACCCGCGCTGACCCCAGGACCCTGGAATGGCCCAGTCAGGGAGTGAGGCTGAGGCCCGGACACCTGATTGATTTTGTGGTTTCTCCAGGGGAAACATTCCATCCAGCAACCAGCTTGTTGCTGGGTGCTGGATGGAATGTTGGTGGTCATTTCCTTCTTCCCGAGGCCTTTCATCACCATGTGGCTGGAGGACCATCCACAGCAGCCCCAGTGGTGGTCCGGCCACACTGGCCGGCGAGCCTGTGAGGGGCTACCAGCAGCTGCCAGCCTCCCCAACCCGAGAGGAGATGTGAGCCACAGAGCTCTCCCTGCCTCTCAACTTTAGGCACTCCCCTGGTCCACAAGCACCTGCTATGATCCCCTTGCAATCCTGGGGTACCTCTGGGGTTCCCAAAGCTCCCAGGCTCCTCCTCCCTTCGGGGCCCATCTGCAGGTGTTAGAAACTGCTTTGTACTGGTCACAAATTGCTTTTGCAGCTCAACTGTACTACCGACAAGACTGTGGCCCTCTCAGAGCAAGGGTCTGTGTTATACCTCCTTGTGCTCTCCGGAGCCCCCTGCATGCATGCTCGAACACAAAGCGAGGCTTTCAACAAATGTCTGCTGGTTTCTTGCCAGTCTCCAAGCTAGAGATGGAGTTACATTTCAGTCAGTGAAGCCCCAAGGGGGAATCTTCAGCACCACTGTCCCCTGGCTGTCCCAACACTCACCTCATCCCCATCACCCACTCCCCCTCCAGGGACAGTGCCTGCCTTCAGTTTGGCTGGGAGGGCCACAGTCCCACCTCAGGTCCATTGCACTGGCTGGCTCCCCCCATCCACACACAC